TACAATGTTTTTTTTTTTTAATGTTTGTTTTTTTGGTACCGGGGGTCAAACTCGGGTCCTTGCGCTTGCACAGCAGGAGGCGAAACCACTGAGCTAAATCCCCGGCCCCTCTAGAATGTTTTTAAGCCTCCCTTTTCCCTGTATTGGCCACTGGCCACCACCCAGGACAGAGGCAGTCAGTAAGGAAGGACTTAGTTCTTTTAAAGAAAATATAAAACATTTTCAAGGTACTTCCTGTACAAGGGGCTTTCTAGACCATGGACCATAACTTGCTTCACTGGAAAGCAGAAAATTTGAATGACAAAGAGCAAGATAAAAAACTGCCAGCTCTACAATTCAACGAGGCACTGAAAAGAGCAAGTAACATAAACAATACTCAAATGTTGGAGACTTATCCAACTTTCTATACAGATAAATACACAGTAAATGTAAACATATAAGTATTGTAATTTAAAAGAAAACAAAATGAAAATGGGGCTACAATAATTTGAAAAGGCCTTTGGATACGGAGAACCAATAAAAACATTGTATGGTTTGGAAGGTTTGCTAAAGTGTCATTGGAAAATACAATACTGACATTTCCCCCCTCCCCGACTTTTTCCTCTTTAAATAAAAACTCACAGTAAAACAAAGCCCCTGGCTGGGCTATAAGACTGGGCTATTCACTTTTCCCCCTGACCTGATTAGAGTGTCTTTTGAACTATTAGTTTTCAATTTGCACCACTGCCAGAGAGAAAGGCCTCCAAATTAATGGCAGCATTGATTGTTTATGCCTCCGAGAAGCACATTAAAAAAATTTTTCACCAATGCTAAAAGAAATGTTGATTTCTGAAAGGATTTAATTAATGAACATTTTTTAAATGAGCATTTTGGAAATTTGCCAAAGGTATGTTTAAAATTCTGCTTGCAAGTTTGGCTGCCTAGAGGATTTGAGTGGTAAGGGCTTTGTTCTTTCTTAGTGCAAAAAGCTCCAACCTTGGATTTTGAGATCCTTAGACTCATCAGTGGGATCTCAATAGAACTGCAGTTCTAGCTCAGATATAGGGGCTAGTTACCGACCAAGCTTATGCTTGTAATAAGCGCTGTTCCCTTCCTGTGTGGTTTCTCCTGGCTGCTTCTGCTTTTGGGAGCAGAGAGGGAGAGAGAGGGAGACAGGGAGAGAGAGACAGAAAGGGAAAGAAGAAGGGGGGGGGGCAAGGGGAGAGAGAAGGAGAGAAAGGGAGAGAAAGAGACTCTACAACCACTGGTCAAAAAAAATAATTCTGCTTGGTTGGCACCAAAAAGATGGGAGCTTGCACAAAGGTTTTATTGGGCAAGTTTCTCTCTGCTCCCTGCTAATGAAGCTCTAATGCCTCAAAGGGAGGAAGATAACAGGTTAGATGACTATTCATTGCATCCTATGTTTACTCTGAAGAACTACAACAGATTTCCAGGAGGGGAAGGACAATCTTGGAAGTAACCTCACTTTCATTATTGAAGTTTCCCATTTTGTAATTGCCCAATGTAATGATCATAAGGTGGCTTACTCATGATATTACCATGCCCCCCATCATAGTTCACTGAGGACTAATGATAATCAATGCTCTGGGTTGGTTTAATGGCAACTTTTGTCTATGTTCTTGTTGGGGTTTGATAAGTATTGTTTATATTGTAGCAAATGAGATTTCATTAGATATTAAAGTAGTTTCCTCTACTTAGAATTGCACTGACTGCTCGTCTCATTCCTTAAACCTTGTGTGAGTTTGTAACTGGCAGTCACACTCCTCAAATGCCCAGTTACCTCTTTGTAAATGCTTTAACCTAAGTTTGCCCACAAAAGATGTGTCAGTTTCAAAGGACACCCTATTTCATTCAGTGGGAGGGAATGATCAAACAGCGTTAAAACAATGGTAGGAGACATGGTCAAAATCAAGAACATTGAATACTAAACTGGCAAAGACAGAGGTCAAACTGGTTGTCTGAAGCTTGGTATCTAGCATTTGGAGCTCTACATCCATTCCTCTATTACTGAGCTCAGATTACTGTTGGCAGCTCAGGACAGTTAAGATTGCTTCACACATCTGCAATTTAGGGGACCAAGCACCTTGCAGAGTGACAGGCCCCTGAAGTTATCACCTACAAAAACCACAACATCATGATGTGTTCCATATGATTTACAATGGGGCACCTCCAATTTTTCACCTGCCCCAAACCACAGTGTTATTCACAGCTGATGGTGGTATGTTATTTCTAGATACCATACTGTTTTGACCATGAGATATTGACTCAGAAAGACTTCATACCTCCCTTCCAAATACAACAAAACTCTTGATGCTCATTTTCTGAGTTCTTGCTAGCTATATCAGTTTGGATGATCTGTTGGGTCTATTTCAGTAAATTCTACCTGAAGTCATCTCTACTCTTGGTTTATCTTCTGGCTTTGGAGATTCTCTCCTTTTTATCCTATGCACCCTCTTCTTTATTACATTCTGTTGCTCAGGTCCTTTTAATCTCAAGAAGCTTTTACACAAAGCCTTCCTAGCATCATTAGCCCCATTTTTCAGGCAGAAATAAGAGCATCTGGTTCACTTTTGGGCAATGCCCTTTTAACGATTCTTGATTTTATTTCCTGGTGTGGAACATCTCTTGTTGTACTAAAAGCCTTTGAAAACCATCATTAATTGCTACATATGATGTCTAGAAATATATCAGACTCAGGTGGCGGTGAAGGCAGATGGTTGTAAGAGCAGTTTGCCATGGTAGAAAGAATATTTTATCACTGGCATTGTTTAGAATTACCAGTGCAGGGTGGGGATTTAGCTCAGTTGTTCTGCCACCTGCCTCACAAGTACAAGGTCCTGAGTTTGATCCCCACTACCAAATAAATAAATAAATAAATAAATAAATTACCAGTGCAAGGTAAAGATAAAAATTATAAAAATAAAATGATAAAGGTTAAAGTTAAAATAAAATGGTAAAAAAATAATAGTTTTTAAATCCTCTACAGATAATCATCCTCCTTATTTTATGCCACCCTTGGTGGACTGCTCTCACCTCACCTACCAGGTACCTCAATGTTCAAAGAAATCTTCAAATGACAAAATTCTATTCAGGAACAAAGAACTTCTGGAAAAATCTTCCTTGCTGAAGTGAATATTTTATCTCACATAGTCAAAAGATTTCAACTATAGAAAAAAACAGCCAAACACTCTGTGTACACAAGTAATTGCAGTTACTTTTAGATGGCCCTAGGGTTGCAAAACACATTTACATTGGCTTTCATGCCCTAGCTTGGTGTTGATGAACCTATGCACACGTGCTTCAGCCAGCTGTTATCATTGAAAGCTCCACACGGTTCGCCATTACTGCCCTAGCCTTTTCAGTCTGTGTTAATATAGTATAATTAAAGAAACTAATTGCTTAAAAAAGAGTAATTCATGCTTCCTTTTAATTTGTTAGATTTGTCTTCACTGTGCTCAGTGAAATTTCTTTTGAGGTCTCTCCTCAGTTATGTAAAACTAGTAACTATTAACAAACAAACAAGCCAAGTGAAAATAGTTTTTCTTTTTTTTCTGGGGACTTTCCTGAGACCCAAGGATCCTCATGGACATAAGTCATGTCCAATAGCTTAATAACCTTTTCAGCGTCTTTCTTTCCCATGTGTTAGAGAAACAAAGAGCAAGAAGGTGTATGTGGAGATGGAGGTATGGGAGAGTTTGGGGCCTGGCCCAGAATGACACACAACAATGTATTCATATTCTACCCCGCTGCTTAGTAAAACCTGGCCATACACCATAACTGGCCTCAACAAAGGCTGCAAAATATAAACATAGGAAGAGAAGGCAATGGACTTACCTGACCAGTTAGTGGTCTTGACTATACCACCAGATGACAAGAGGCAAGGCATGCTCAGTTTTGTCATTGCTCAAAACTTCATGCTCAAAAGAGGGTTTGAAACACTGTAGATTCTTAATAACAACCAACTGGGTGTGTGGTATTGTATGAATAATAAGGAAGGATTAGGTCTGGCATAGACCTTTGACTTTAAGCAAGACTTACCTTTAACAGATCAGCCTATCAACTGAAAAACCGAGAAGCAACTCATTACATCCTGTGAATGCTGAAAACTTTGATCATTTTGTTGAGAATTCTCAAATCAAGATCAATTTATAGCAACTCAACAAAAATTATTGCAATTTTTGTTTTTCTAAATAACCAGTTGACATAATCAGTTGACATAATACATACATATATTTGATTGTACAAGCTACTTACCTATATGTAAACAAAATTCTTGCCTTTGTGTGGCTTTTAGAGACCAACGAAAGGACATGCCAACATTTATAGTGAACAGAGTCTAAATTCAAGATCTTAGTATGAGAGTCTCTGGAATAAATGGAAGAAAATATTCTCTGTGCTGAGTTTCTCTCAAAGGTCCTTACTATCGATGTCACCCAGAAAGCCTAGCAACCAATTTATAAGCCCTCACAGATCAATCACTGCTAGGTAGTAGCCCACACTATGTTCTGATTCTATGCATTTCTATTTGTCCCCCAAAGAAACACCAATGTAGAGGCTCTGGAGATGTGGTTAATTCTTGCAGGTACAATATGAGAACAATGATGGCTAATGGGCTACATTCTTAAGATCACAAGGGAACAACTGTATATTAACAAGCAAAAATGTAATTATATCAATATAATAGGCATTAGCAAAAACCAGGACCTTGCAGAGATTGATTGCTTTGCACACCACAGAAACTGATGAAATGATTTCCCCAGATGTGCTGGCAGAAAAATTGACAAGTTCATTTTATTTAGGAGTGTGCTGCTTTTTCTCTTGATGAGGGACTGAAGTTACTATACGAAGGGTTATATAGTTAAGTAATACAATATAGCATCACTGCTTAAATAGAGCATTTATGAATCATTTAATCTGATAATACAGAAAACCTGTATAATGAACAAACACTAAGAAGTAATGAACAAAGAAATGAATAACCAAAATAGCCCTTCACTTACCTGCAGAATGTACATGGATTCTATTCAATGATAGGATTTAGTTAATTGTGTTTCTTCCTTGACCTTGGCATCTAATCACCAAATTCTTACTTGTTGCTTAGGGGGGCCATTGTTCTTATAAACAAACAAGTTTAATACCTACAAATATAGGGGATATGACAAAAGAATGTCAGGATCCAACCACTGTTCAGACCCATGTACTCCCCAGGAGTTCCAATTAATACTTAAATCAGCAGGCTCAGCTGTATGGTTAATTAAAACATAGTATGATAGGCTTCATTTCTGAGTTTCTGAATCAGAATTTGAGTCAGATAATTTGTACAGTGTTTCTAACAACTTCACAGGTGATGCTGTTGGCCCAGGGGCCACACTTTGAGAGCCAATCTATCAAATAAATATGGAAATCTTCCTTATGTGTAGAAATATAGAATAATTTCCTTTTTTTTTTTTTCACAGTGCTGTGGCTCAAACCCAATGCATGCCTGGTAAGCATTCTACACTGAGCAACATCCCCAGCCCAGAACAACTGATTTTGCTCTTAAAGCTTTGGAAATGTTACTGAAACCATGAACTTTTATACTGGAAGTTATCATATCTATATTAATTTAAAATCTCAATCCCTCTCTCTCATTGGTGAAAGAAAAGAAGCAAACAAAACCATTACCCAACTATGTCCCCATGCCCTTACATCAAAGTCTTCCTGCAAAGTTTACCAAAATAATGCTACATCTTTTCAGAATCTTTTATCAGCCTCCCTATATTTAGAAAAAACTTGCAGGTTCCTCTTTAGCACAGTCCTCAGCTAGTCTGCGGGAAGCTCAGCACTTTATTACTTGTCTCCATTTTAAGTAAAAGGAAGAAGTCTCACCTCTTCTATTGAGTTTGCTTAATCTCTTCCTGATTCTGGTCCAATACCAGCAGGCAACAAAGACGTTGATCCCCAGTGACAAATGAACCCAAAATTAGAAGTTATGGCTATGAACTGGAAGGATAACTAGGGATAGTCCATCCTGGGTTTAACGTAGCTGCAGATTCACTTCGTTTGTTTGGTGCACTTTCAAGAAGAAACATCTGACTCTTGTCAGAAGGGGCGTGAGCTCAGCAGCTCATGCTTCTGCTTAATTTGCAGCTGACTTCACTCATTTATATTACCTGCTTGGCCTTTAGGTAGCTGGAAATAAGTATTATACCTGAAAAGATCTCTTCTTTAACAAACAGGGAACAATGGTTGGAGGAAATTCAGTATCTGCCCTGGAGTCATGCTGGTAGCTTGTGCCACTAGCCAGCACTGGAATAGGACTAAATTCACCCCTCAAGGATCCCTCCTTATCCTTTGTTGCTGCTTTCCCCTTGGAGAACTCCACTGGGCCAACATCAGAAATTAGACAAGAACTTTACCAGCTATATTACCTGCCTCTTAAGGATACAAATATTCACCTGCTTTTCTCTGCTCTCCTCCTTCTAACTCTGAACTGCAAAGCAAGGGTCAGAAACAGAACCAAAAGCAGCGAGTCTCAAAATCAAGCATACATTACAATCACCTGTGGAGCATGTTTACAGTGCTGTTATCACTGAATCCAGCTGCAGAAATTTCTCAGTCTGAAATCTACCTAGTTATCCAGCACCCAAAGGTGATTTTGATGTGATACTTCAAACACACTTGAAAAATGCTTTGTGGTTTAGAGCAGTACTTCTCAGACCTCAGGTGTCCACAAATCCCCATTAAAATGCAGTCTGGTTTAAAAAGTAGGTCTGGGGTGGAGCCTGAAATTCTACTTTTCTCAAAAGCTCTGGAGAGATGCTGGTCCGGGAGTGGCAAGGATTCAGAACTGGGCTGTGACAGCCAGTCATATTTCTTAATGTGGAACTTTCCTAGTCATGTGCCTGGAAAATGATTTTAACCTGTTTATGCCTCAATTCTCTTATACTGAAGTGGAACATACTAGGTCCCTAGGTAGAAATAGGAAGGAGAAAACCAAATTTTTGAGCTGTGTCTCCCACACTGCCAGATAATGAACTCCTTAAAGAGGGAACCATAACTTCCTTGTAAAACAGATCTCTGGAACTATTGCTCAACCACTGACAGAGTTTCCACGGGTGCATGGTGGAGGTGGTGGTGGTGGTGGGGGGTTGAAAGAAGATGGGAGGAACGGTTGGCAAATTTGATTACCTTTATTTTCAGTAGCGGTACCTCCTAGCATGGCTGTCTGGGCATATATGTTTGTTTTCCTTTAGCCAGCCCTGTTGTTGACATTATTATCCTCATAGAGTAGAAAGAAGTCATAGCTAGGAGAGTACATGGCCCAAATAGACAAAGGTGGCTATATGCCAGCAAAGTGGCCTTGGTTACAGAAGTTATTTATACAGGCCAACAACTGACCTTGGCCACAGAAGTTATTTACAATGGGGAATCGGGAGATGAGCCTGCGCTGGAGCTCTGTTGACACAGGACTCACTGTCTCCTAGACCCCCAGCCCTTCAAGCCTGAACCAAAGAACTGCCAGCTGTGCATTTCCCTACAGGAACTTTCTGCTACAAACATCTGCAGTTGTTGGCCCTCTGCTGGTCCAGGTCTCTTTTGCTACCACCAAATCATGGAAATCATAAGATTGACTCAATTCCAGGTTGGAGATAGGCAGCCTGTTTCTCATCGGCCACCAAAATAAGGGTGGTAGATGGGAAAGTGCAGAATGTTTCACTCCGTGGCTCTTAATGGTGTAACACTGTGACAATGAGTTTGCCTCCTTCAGCCTCCATCCTTAGGAGCCAGAAAGTAAAGCCCAAACCACGCCCGTGCTGAGTCTTAACTCTTCATTTTACCAGTGAGTCTCATACTGTAGTCTACCAAACAACCTTCTGAGGGAAATTTTTATCACATTTTTTGTGGTACAGATTCAGTAGGTTTGACATGAGAAACATCTCTTTTTAACTGGCAACTTAGCTCTTTCCTCCATGTGCCTCTGCCCTATGAAGAATGGTAGATAAGTATCTGAACCCACTGAGTTATTGGGTACTCACTTTCTCATGATGTCCCTGGGTATACAAATCTGCATGCCTTGTTTTCCCCTCTGAATCAGTCCTTTGTCAGGTCAATTTAAGTAAACCCACAGAGGTAGGGAAAGTTTTCCCTTCATCCCTGAACCTCATTCATATTTAGTCCTCAGCCATAACTGCATTCATCAAGATTTCTTTCAACTGGTTTTTAAAAACTGGTTTTATTTCAAACATTTTTGTTGTTGTTACTGTTTCTCTTCTAACAGAAACTTGGTGAAAAAATATTCTCCCTCTCTCTCATTCCTTATGCATTAATGTCACTTGTGACTATGATATCTCTTTATTTTCTCAGATCCTGGGACCATACCTATCACATAATAGAGATTTACCCATTAGATAAGAGAGAAAAGAAGAATAGAAAAGAAAGAGGGAGGGAATGAAGAAAAAAAGCAAGGAGGAAGTAGAGAAATCCATAATCTCATCCTGGATCCACATGTGACAGTGTAAGCCATCTCAGAGATATTGAAAGTAGTTGTCCTCCTACTTATTTATTGCTGTTGAGAAGGTTTTTATGCTTCATTTTTCTTTCATTTCCAGCATCTCAGCATTTTTTCCCAAGCCAATTTCTTGCCCTCAAAATAGATTCACACTACAGTTCTTACTCATTTTTTATGAAGAAAAGTTCACAACCCCCTTTGTGATCCCCTCAGGTAATTAATTAACTCAGGGGGTACTGTCAAGATGCCAGAAGCATGTTGGCTTTCATTTCCCCATCTGAGATTCTTTTCCTTCTATTAACTTCACCTTTCCTCAGCCAAGGCAACAATTAATTTGTGCATCTTCCCTTTTGGGATGTCATTTGTCCCTCTGATAGTTTTTTTTTTTTTTTCTGAGAATCCTCATCTCCTCATTTCCTATAAATTGTAATCCTCCTATGTGGTTTTCCCTTTTCAGAAAGTATTTACTGGGGTTTGGGAATGAGCCTGCTTTGGTCCATAATAGAAATATAAATGTGAGGTTACTTATTTCGTTGAGAGGCCTCTTCATAGGCATCAAAGAGAGGCCATGGGTTTCCCCCCATGTTGTGAAAGAGAAAGAAGTAAAAGGATAATTAAAATATATGATGAAATAATATGAGTTCCCAGCAGTTGAAGTATTGAGGTAAGTTTTCTTAGTGAACTAGATTAAAATTAAATTTGTATTAACTTGGAAAATGCATATGAGGTGATGTCATATTGAAAGGTGGGATAAATAGTATATGTGACAACAGCTGTGATTTAAAAGAAAAACACAGTATCACTCTTCTAATTAAAACTCTTCAATGTTTTTCACTACCTTCAGGATAAAACTAGGCTCAACTCTCCATTAGCTGGACTTGCCTACATCTCTAAAAGCATCTCTTTAACTCTCCTCTATCCCTTTCCACCTCCATCACACCCATACCTGCTTCTCCAGAGCCCTGAGAAACAGTTCTCCTTCCCCATTTACATTACTTCCAAGTAAGTGTGGAACAACCTGTCACTGGGGAATGGAGTTATACTTGCATTTCCCCCAATCATACAAATAATAAAGTAAGTATTCTGGCTTTTTCATGACCCAACCTAGCCCTGGCCTCCCTCATTTACACTGCTTTCAGTAGAAAACATCCCTATATTGGAAAAAAATTTTGAGACAAATTTAAATAAAGTTTCATTTTTATTTTATCTCAAGCACTGTTTTGTAATGACGTGTCTCTCTACAGCTTACCTCCTGCTAGAAGGAGAAATAGACACGGATTTTCTGTTTGGCTGGCTTTGAGATCAAAGACAAGTAGGCCTACTTTGAAGGTATGGACACTGCTTAAATGTATTCTAAATCACACTCCATATTGTGTAAGTTTTCTGCACATACAAGTGTGAACACAGTAAGGGGAAACTGTACCACTGACTATATCTAAAAAGCAAGAAGATGATCAATTAAGATGCCAAAATACAGACTTACAGTAAATTCCAGATTCCACACAAGCTCTTCAGACCCTTTGTCAGCTATAAAGTGAATGCATCACCAAGGAAAACTCCTCTCTTGCCTTTCAGAATCACTTGAGCCCTCTAAGTGACATTGTTTGAGCAGGAGTGAGACTTGACTCATCACACTTGACACAGAACAACAACTTCTCCTTCGCCTCCTCCTTCTCCTTCCTCTTCTCCCTCTTCTCCTTCTCCGTATTCTCCTTTTCCTTCCCCTTCTCATTCCTCTCCTTTCTTCTCCTTCTCTTCCTTATTCTTCTTTCCTTCCTTCTCCTTCCTCCTCCCTCCTTTCTCTTCTCCTCCTTCTTCACAGCTGCCATGGAGGATCTTATTGTTCCCCTCATCCATTCCTGATACTGATGCCTTAGCTTTTCAGGACAGTGACCTAAACCACTGCCGTGATCTGACCCACTAGATTCTCAGGACATACGCCTAACACACTCCCAACTGGCCCTCCATACTGCCTCACCACAGACCTAAGACAATGGAGCCCGCTGCCCATGGATTCAAACCTCTAAAGCTAGGAGTCAAAATAAGTATTTCCTCCTCTAAGTTGTTTATGGCAGGTATTTTGTCACATCTACAAGAAGATGACTGACACAGTCCTTACAGACTGGATCACTGGGTGTGCCAACTAAAAGTGTCACCCAAATAGACTCACACATGTAACAATAAGAAAACAGTTATGGCTTTCTTGAGTTTTCCCAGAGAATCATAAGTATTGTAAAAGACAAGAGAATATTTTAATGAGACACTTGAGGATGGAGAAGGTAAAATTGCAAGAGACATGTGCAAATGGCCTAAAAACCATTGTAGTATTTCTCTGTAGGACCTCACTTTTGCAGTTGGAAGAGTGCAGATTATGTCAAGGGTGGTGTTAAAATACTTGGAATGTCACCAGACAGCCCAAGGCTTCTTTTTCTTTTCAGTCTTCATGTAGTTTTCAGTGTTTCTGCTGAACAAATGTTGACTAAATATTTATAGTATATGTGTTTATATGCAGGTCATTATCAGTCCTTCTTCAGAGCCCACATGCGTCCCATTCCATTGTGTGACCGCCATGTGAAGCCCTCATTGTGCACTGGCTGACTGTAGTTGTTCCTCATGCACCGAGTGAATTACTGTCATTAATTCATCCCATTGGAGTGAGGCTCGTTAGTGAAAAGTTCATGAGT